CCCCCCCCCCCCACTGGAGGGGGGGGTGGTTCCGTTTTCGGAGACCAGCCTGAGTGTTATGCTGGCATTTGTGCCGTTAAATGGCAGTATTTACCACGCCATTACCTCAAACACAGCCGGTGCGAGACACAAAAGCCGGTGATTACAAGTGCCAGGCGTCAAATGCCCCCCCTCCCCCCACCGTCCTCGCTGGCGACTGTGTGGGCCGCGTTGATAGCTCAGCGTCCAGGCCGAGAGAGAGAGAGAGAGAGAGAGAGGGAGGGAGGGAGGCTGGCGCTGGGTGACCTTTATCTGAAATGTCAGTCAGGAGGCGTCTGCGTGCAGGGAGGGGGAGGGGGGGTGAGCTGATTGCCCTTGGCCATGCCGGGCTGCCGTGGGGGCTTTCTGACTGCTCTTGGGGGAGGGAATGGGTGGGGGGGTCGTTGCTCGTCAACGCAGCAGGGTGTCCCTCATTCCTACCGGGAGGGTTGGGGCCATCTCCACCCGCAGCGGTAATTAACGCAGTGCGGCGGTGCGCCTTTCAGGACCCGGGTGCTTCTGCCCATCGCGCTACATGTGCATGATGTGTGTGTATGTGTGTGAGATGTGTGTGTATGTGTGTGAGATGTGTGTGTATACCTTATGTGTATATTTCCATGCTCAGTCACTAACCAGCACTGTTTCCAGTCCTGGCAGCACAGGGTCTGTTTGCCCCACTGGCCTCATACATCTTGTTGGGGGGGGGGGGGGGGGTTATTCCCCAGGGTGGCAGCAGGGTATCGATCAGCACTTACTAAAGGAGCCGCTCATTTCTCCACAGCCTCACACCGCCGGCACTCCCTGCTCTCCCGCATATGCGTGTGTGTGTGTGGGTTATATATATATATATATATATATATATATTACATCATGAGGACCATATGTCCCCACAATGCAAGAGAAACCTGTCGTTTTGACTTTGTGAGGACCATTCTTTCAGTCCCCGCAAGGGGAAATTCAATTTTATACAAATCTGTGAATGCAATCAAAAAACTAAAAATGCCAAAAGTCTCTTGTATTTTGTTTGGCTACTTGCGGGGTGGGTAGGGGTTAAGGTTGTCATTGTTGGGATTAGAGTTTTGCCCATAGAAATGAATGAATGAGTCCCCACAAAGATATGAGTACAAACCGATGTGTATGTGTGTGCGTCCTTGCCTGTGTGTCTCGCTCAGGACACACAAAGGGAACTCGCTGATTAAATGTTAAATCTTTAACAGCAGAGCGATTATTTTTCTTCTCCTGTTGCCTCCTGTGGAAATCGCTCATGTGGGCTGGGAAGGGGGGGGGGAGCATGTTGACCCGGTACCAACCCCCTCTGTCGTCTCCTTCCACATCCCCATAGCTGGCCCTGCACTCTCGGCTCTGCGACCACACCCGGATTGGCGAGTACCACCCGGGATCGGTGCGCTACGCCCCCGCCGGGGAGCTGGATCTCTCTGATTCCGACGAAGACGACACCAATGTGCTCTTCTACTCGCCGGACATGGCTCTGAAGGACAGGGGACCATGAGCCCTGCATGGAGCTGAGCAGGACGACAGCCAGGCAGACACAGGAGACGACCTGTCAGGCTCCATTATTAATTTCCAGCTCTTAATATTTAATGTCATAAAACTGCAGCTCCATGCGCAGCCGGGAGCGAGCGGCGAGACACGGCGGACAAGCCCCTCGCGCCTCCCCAGCCCGGCAACCGGCTCCTCCGCTGTTCTTCCTTCAGCTCCCGTGATTTAAGTTTGACTCCGTTCGCTGCCGTTTTCCACGGCTTTCATGTTCCCAGTATTTTCTAAGGATGTGGTTCTTTTGCCGATTCCAGCATGCGGTGTTTTAATCTTCGTATTTATGAAGCGTGTGTGCTATGTGTATTTTTTGTACGTGTCTAAGGCTTGAAAGGGGTGGGCAATGAGGGGGGTCTCAGTGAAGTTCCCTTTGGCCGGCTGCCCCATTGACTCCATGCTGCGACTGGAACTGGACGTGCCCCCCTCCCATAGCGCACCTGCCGGCTGATTGGCAGACGTTTCAGGACGTCGTCGGGGGAACGGGAGGAGCCAAAGGGGGTCGGAGGACATGTGACTGGCGGGTCACCTGCTGGGACAGCGAGCAGCGCTGCGGGGGCCTGACCCCGGAGCTGAAGCCACCACCGTCTTCACCTGCACAGTTATTTTGTTGGCAAGCACTCCTGTGTTATGGACGGCACCCCCTGTGTGGCTATCTTGCGTCCATCATACAGTAAAGCACATGGGTATGAAAAACAAAGTGAGGGCTGCCTCATTTCCTTAAGTCCTGATAATTTCTTTGTGAGTGTGTGTGTACCCGTGCGTGTATTTATGTATGTGTGTGTGTGTGTGTGTGTGAGAGAGAGAGAGAGAGAATATGCACGCCGCCCTTACAGGCGCAAGGTTGCATGTGACGGTGGAGCCGCGCTCTTCCCGCCACACACCTCATTACGCCCCTAATTTACACATAACGCCTCCGGACGCCGGGCCCATTACTCATTCGCGGGGAAGTGATTGAGTTTAAAAAGCGCCTCAGCCGGCAGATGGGCTCCCGGACTGACGCCGGAGCGCAGCGCAGCCCCCGTCGCCGGGTCCCCGTGGTACTCCAGCCCCCGCGGTCGTCGCCAGCCAGATCCCCCCCCGTGATTTCATGTTGGTGCGGAGTCACAGCCTGCGTGGGCTCCTCTCGAGACAAACAAAACAGAGAGAGACACGCGGGGCGTCTTCCAACCTCGCACCCGTTCGGGGTTTTCGAATCGATGCAGGTGCCGTGGCCTCGGGGGGAGGCTGACTGACACAATGCCCCCCCCGAGCCGCGATGAAAGAGGCGAAAATGAAATAGCCGAATCTTCCCCATCGCCGGCATTTTCATATGCTCAAAGATGTTATTAACTTGGCATAAGAGCCGCGGTGCGTGTGGAATAATCCAATCTCTCGCTGTCATACGAAAAAAATTATTTCTCCCGTATCGCCGCGCGCGCTGTAATTGGATACAATTTAACATCGGCGGCCCCTGGCAAGTCGGCTCGCGCGCGGTGTGGCTGCCACGAGCCGGCCTCGGCGTCCGCGTGCTCCTCGGAGCTCGCGCGCGACGTGAAGCACCTTCTCTGCCTGGGAATCGTTTAAAAGGGGGGGCTGATTGAAGTCAGCTGTCTGGCTCCAACTGCAGTCCAGCACCGTGCAGGTTAAGGGACAGGAACGGGCCGTCCAGGCGGAGCAGGAAAAATAATTTTAAATTGAATCCCGCGGCTGGCCCGATATGAAAGAGCCACAGACCGGGCAGGAAGCATTAAATTTAATGCTTTTAGAGGGTCTCCGTCGCAATTGCGCAAACCCCCGGCAGGATGTCGGGGGCGACAGGCATGCCTGGTAAACTCCCCATTTAACGACAGGACCCGGAGGGTTCAGGGATTATCGCTGCTGCCCTGTTGTCCGAGGGGGAGGGACCTGGGCGTCGAGCCTCCAATCTGCATGAGGTGAGGCGCGTGTTCTCCCCCTCCAACACACCCGTGGCTTTGATTTTCCAACATTTTCATTTATTATTTTTAAAGCTGGCTGGGTGGCTCATCGTGTGTGTGTGTGTGTGTGTGTGTGTGTGTGTGTGTGTGTGTGCGTCTGCATAAAACCGTTCCCGATTGGCAGACGTACAAGCCTTATCCGTGTTGAAACGCGGGCCCTCCCCGCCGCAACGGCTGCGTTCACATCTCTGCCGCCGCGTTTGATGCCGCGGTTTAAGACAAAATAAACGAACGGCACGATAATTATTCTGAATGGCGCGCAGATATTCTCATGAAAACAATCCGCGAGATGCAGGTTCTGCGGGGGAGGGGGAGGGGGAGGGCTTCCTCATAAAATAAACGGTGCCGTTTTTCAGTCGGCGGGAAGATGAACGCGTTGCTGATAACACGGCTTTGTTAGCGCGCCGGCCACAGGGGATGGGGGGGCGTTTTCGCGTCGATTTTCAGCCCCTCGTTTTTCAATCCGTCTACGTTCTCTGGGGGGAGAGAGCCGGGGTCAGGCCGGGAGTTTGCGGGCTGACATCATGCCTCTCCACCGTATCCCTCGATTACTCAGAGCGTCCGTGTCGGGAGAGAGAGGGAAGGTGTCTGACTGCGGCCTGGGAAAGCCTCTGCGCCGGCTGCCGTGATGAATGTGCTGGCAGCTCTAAGCCTCTCTGCCTGTTTAGGCTGCAGGAAGAAAAATCGCCCCTCGAGATCAGAGATCCATGCCACGGTCGCTGCCGGGGGGTAGTTGTGCGGGCGTGAGGGAGGGAGAAATGAGGGGGGTGTGCCACAGCGTAATATCAAAGTTCCCCTTTGAGCTCGTCAGTTTCGCTAGCAGCCCCCCGGTAACGCGAGCGCCCTCGCCCAGCCTATGCATATTTCATCGGGCCGCTGCTCGTTACGCGCTCCTGCCTTCCATAGATCTGCGGCGCCCGCGCCGTTTATATCCGCTAATGGTCTCCGGTGAGCGCGTGATGACGCGTGATGCTAGGGGGGAGGGGGGCGATCCTCCGTGTGCCCAGGCGAAAGTAAATGAGCCCCTAATATCACCGGGCCTGCTTTCTCCGCTGTACCCCACCGATGTAAAAGCGACGACACAAACCCGCAGGGATTTGGATCGTTTTATAGCGATATCTGTGAGATCCTCATGGTTTTAAGGGAGGGGGAGAATATAGTGGCGTGTCTCCCCTCATAGTGCCTTCAGTTGACGTGCGGCTTTCTGTTTTTGGAGAAGCCATGAGAGCCTTTACAGACTCGCCGCGTGCAGCTGGTTACGCTGTCCCCGTTCGCCGTGTGCGCGCGAGTGCGCCTGTCACCATGCTTCACCCCCCCCCCCGATGCTGCCTGTTTATTTACATAAGTCTAGCTGCTAATTCCCCAATGGAGACGTTTATAATGGGGTTTCCCCTTTAATTATGCAGCATTCCTCTTTTGCTCGTGCCGCTTCCATCTTCTGGAGAAGGGGAAGGCTGTGTCTGTGCGATTCGCTAGCGGAAACGCGGCGGGACCGAAACGTCTCTGTCAGATAGGGTACGGAAGAGGAGGAGGGGGTGGGGGATGTTCACCGGAGGAGCGCCGGTTATCATGTGCGAGCAGCCACCCGATCTGCGCTGCGAAATTTGCAGGAAGATTATACGGGAACTATTCCTATATTCTCATAAGGACGGCGTGAGCCGGAGATCAGCTGGGGCTCAGCCTGGTCAGCAGGGTAATACGGTGTGAATAGAGGGCGTCTTCGCTGGGGTGGTGCGCATACAACCCCCAGAGGGGGCGTGGCTTTGCTCATCTTTTATCCTGGTTTTATCCAGACAGCTGGTGATGTTGACTTTCTCTCGGGGTCTGATGCCGTCGTCCTCCGCCGTATTTCTGGTGTCATTCGCAGTGAATCTCTCGTGCGTCCTGCTGTCAGGATAATGGTGTTACGGGGAGGACTCCTAAGCCCCCCCCTCCCCGAGGCATGCCTTGATCTGCTTCACTTTTGTACCGCTTTGAGGTGCTGAAAGGACGTCGACAGAAATGTTTAATTACAGGACTGTTTATGTTTAACCTGATTAAGTTACACTAAATGTAGCTCGTCTTCTTGCGTAAACAGTGACGGACACGGCGTTGGCGACCTCGTCTGTTCCTCATCCTGCTCCAGAAACGCCAGGAGTGGGTCTGTCTTTGCTGCCACAGACAGCAGCTGCAGCCTTTCAAAACACTAATTTATTCTCCTCAGCCGCGGAGTCGGGGGGGGGGGCGTGTCTCCTTCGCCTTCTCGCACCAGCCCGCCTTCTCCGCAGCCCCTCTCGCTCCGCAGCCTGCCACCGATAATCGCGGGAGCGCAGGGGGAAGCGCGGTGCCGACGGCTCTTCTGAGCCGAACAGCACGGAGGTGTTTATGAGCGCAGCCTCAAAGAGCGCCGCCGCCCCCAGCCTGCACGCACGAAGCCCGGAGGGGGGAGGGGAAAAAAATCCACCACCTTAATTTAGCTTAGGAGGCAAGAAGGGTTTAAAAATTCATACAGGAATGGCGCAATACACAAGAAATTACAGTCTTGGAACTCATTCAGTTTGCAGGAAGAAAGGAGCGGCGATGTCGGGTCCGTACGTCCTAAAGCCCCGATGGCGGTCCCCAGCAGCTCCTGTTTACCTGCGCTAATTTAAGGCGTAGCTGTAGGCAGACTGGACTCTGCCGCTACCTGCGGATATTTGTTTGGCGATTCGCGGCAGTAGGTCCGATTTGTTCGGGGGATTCTGCCGTTTTCTTTCCACAACGGGTATTTACTGGAAAAGCACAGAAGGTTATGTGTACAGTACATGTGGAACTATGAGCTTGGATCGGTCGCGGTCAGTCCGCGGGTCGGGGAGCCACCCCACACCTTGGGGCTGAAACGCTGCCCCAGTAATGAAGAGCTCTGGATGGAAGCCAGCCTAAACGAACCGCCGTGCAATTATCCACGTCGGAGGCAGGGCGAGGATTTTTCTGGGGAATAAGCGCGGCCCCCGAGAGGCTGGGTTGGGGGGAGGGTGCCTCTCCGTGTAGAGTGTCGTAAGCGATCCGTAACCATCTGCGGGTGGATCACGCCAGTTAATAACGGACGCCCAAGGCTCCACAGCGTACAAAGAACTTCCTGCAACGTGAGTCGCCGGTGCTGGTCTCCTGCTCTCACTGTCTGGCCCTACTCCGCCCTGCCCTGCCCTAGCTTTCGTTGCGGCTTTAAAGCCGTCACCGCCATGAGGGTTTGATTGCAGGAGCAGATGGTTGGATCACTGTTACCTCCCAGAGAGCGCAGCTCCTACACGACGGTGTCTTAGCGTACTCGCTGCTTTTATTAGTATTTCTCCTTTTGTGACGCGAAAGCGAGACTGTTTTCGGACCCCGTTCTGCTCCTGGAAACACTAAACTTTAATTTCCGCTGAGTTCAAGTGCTGCCCCCATCATCCCGCCCCCTCCCCCCAGGCGGGGGGGGGGGTGAAAGGTCTTTGAGGGTTTAACTGACCCATTATTTCCATTTACAGTTCTTTAAAGGATGTCATAATTGCAATATTCCGATATTAGAAATAATATTCGAATATTCGTTGATCGTAATTTCCACTAAATCGAGGTCCATGTGATGAGATTGCTGAATGGGACTGCGTGTCGTCGAGGATTCCGGGCCCCTTATCCCTGGGGGTATTGTGATTAGGCCTCCAGTTTTTTTATTTATTTTTTTTTTATTATAACTAAAAATAAAAAAAACCGCATACATGCAAAGAACTGTGTGAATTATATAACA